TTTTTACTGCATATTTTCCTCACTACAGCTTTTATTTGGCAGATTCAGATTGTACTTTTAGCATGACCTGAAACTGATATAACATCAACGTTGTCTGGCAAAAAAAAGATGACCCTGAAGACAAATCTCCAAATCTCATTGCACTGTGTACAATGACAATAAAGGCTTTCAATTCAATTCAAGACCTTGAAAATATTTCAGTTTGATGACACATTGACTTTTTGACATCTGATTGCTTGTAAAGAATTTCTCAACATTTAAGGAAGCATGAAATACTTACAAACTAAGATGACGCTGGTGAGTTAGGAAATCTCCAATTTGAGATTATGTTCATGCTTTGAAGAGCATGCTTACTTTTACTTTTGACAAAAGTACATTTTACTGCTAATACGTTTTTCATTTCACTTAAAATTTGCAGAGATTTGACTATTTTTCTGTTGGGGTTTTGTTATTTTTAAAGGATTTGAGTAGTGCTTCCACCACTGATGAACTGATTGGTAAGGACAGTAGTGCATTGTGGTCAAGATTGAAGTTATCTAGATGCCCAGCGTGGCCACAACACCATCTCTGGGCTCACCACATCACCTCAATTACTGACCCAACTGGCATCAAAACAATTCAGCTGAAGAAAAAATAGAACAGTATTTCAGTATACTATTTTTAAAAACATATCAGATGCACTGTGAAGAGAGTTATCAAAATGTCTCTGTGCACAAACCAACATGCAACTTTACCTTCTCTTCTCCTTGTCGGCTGTCATCGTGTCCCGCAGGCGTCTCTATCCGGTGTCATGGTGAATGTTGAGATAAGAGAGAGACGGTGGCAGCAGGAGTTCACAGCACAGCCGGGAATCTCCCAGCTACAATTTGCACCTTCGCAGGTAGTCTAATTAATCAGAGAGGCAATTAGTGGTGCCAAATGTCACAAGGCAAGTGGTTGAACAGCCTCCAGCAAGTGTCCCCTCTCCCCTCTGCATGTGCATCACCTACAGACCTCCAAAAACTGAGCACGGTGATAGGTCAGATGGCCAGGAAAAGCATCAACCTCCCCTCCCCTTCCTCTCTCTCTCTCTCTCTACTCCACTCCTCCCTCCCCTCAATTCTTCTCTCACACAAACTTTAAAGCATCCCACAGAAAACAACAGATAAGCCTCTGAACGGAAAGACGACACAGAAGAGTCTGGGAGTGATGTAGACAGCTCAGTGTTTTATTGGAATCAGACCAGACAGGACTAGCCTGGCTGTTGCACTACATTTTGGCACAGAGTAAGATAGTGTGACCAGGAACAGCCCTACCCCTGGGTGCACAAAGCTTCACTACACACCGACTCTACTGCACACAGAGCAACCAGCTCGCCTTCAGATCACTGTATAGTACACACGACAACAGTCCTTCTCTGTGTGTGTGTGTGTGTGTGTGTGTGTGTGTCTGTCTGTAAGAAAGAGAGTGAGAAGAAGAGGGAGGAGGAGCAAAGGAGAGAGTCTATATGTAGTGTTTTTGTCTGTGTGTGTGTGTGTGTGTGTCTGTGAGAAATAAGAGGTAATTCAGCTGCTGGTTTTCCACATTTCTTTTCACCCGGCTGTAACAGACCTATGATAGTATAGTTATAGTATTATACACAAAGGTTTCCTCCAGATACACTTTACAATAATAATAATTATTATAATAAAAAAGAAAGAAAGAGAGCAATAAGAAAGAAAAGCCATTCTTGAAAAAAGCAAAAGTCAGAAAAGCAAGTGGTTTTGGCTGAGTGAGACAGCTGCTGGAGGCGGGAAAGGGGAATTGGTGCTTTGGAGGATAGGGGAAGGAAAAGGGGGTGCTGAAAATACTGATGGTAACTATAGAAACAGAAATGCTGAAGACAAAAAGTCACACACCAACGGAGAAGGAAAAAAAAAAATTATTCACGCATTCACACATACCAAAAATGTAAATTCACGACAAAATAACGCCCACGGAGCCAGCACATTCACGCCGGCAGGACAGACACGGACTCTGAAACTAGCAGATGGATGAAATAGCTGGAAATCGGGCTTTTAACTGCTACACAGGCCGCCTGTAACACTCTGCTCCACATAATTAGTTCACTAGCCTGTAACTTGTTAGCTCGACATTCACTTTATACACACAAGAAAGAAGGACGTGGAGCGAATGTGTCGGAAGATGAGAGCAAAATTTCAAATCATACTAAAAAAAAACATTTTGAGGAGAAAAAAGACAAAAATAACACATGAACGAACAAAAACCTTAAAATATATAGATAGTCAGGGTATTGCACAAAGGGTATTTGGCCCTAACTGGTCCACAATAAGGACAGTAATAACACAGGTAGGGTGCTTGTCCATGCGCCACGACTCTCCTTTACAAGCAGACAATACCAATACAATACAGCCACTCAACACAGGCTATATACAGGCCTCTGCGCCCAGCACCTACTGTACAGTCCACATATGTGCTGGGGAGAGAAGCAGTGTGTGTATGTGTGTGTGTGTGTGTGTGTGTGTGTGTGTGTGTGTGTGTGTGTTTGGGTGTCTG